GGTCTCACTATGTTGCCCAGGCTGGTCTTGAACCCTTTTAGTCCTGTTTTTAATATAATTCCTCTGCCGTGCTTGGTCTCCTAGCTGAGAGACTCTCTGTTTAACATTCTTTTTATTTTTTATTTTTATTTTTGAGTCAGGGTCTCACTCTGTCATCCAGGCTGGAATGCAGTGGTGCAATCATAGCTCATTGAGTCTTGACCTTCTGGGCTCAAGCAATCCTGCCTCAGCCTCCCCGAATGCTGGGATTACAGGCATGAACCACCATGCTTGGCCTGCTTTACTTTCTCCAGTGAATCAACTCACAGTTTTCAAGTGACGTGAGAAGGGCAGCCACCAAGCTGCTCTGAGAGAGGTATGAATCAGATTTAACTGCATTTAAATTTTTTGAAAAATTTAATTAATTAGTACTTTTTATCTGCTTCTTCCACAGCATCTTCCTGTTTTCAACCCATCCTCCTATTTTGGTCAGACTGTCACTTGTACTTCCAGTACTTTGTACTGCTAGTGTCTCAACTTTCTTAGGGGGCCTGCAGAGAAAATCAAGCTGTTTTTCTGTTTCTCCCTGGTCAGCACAGGATTTTCATTTCTCAGTTCTTCGAAGTCAGAAAATCCCATCTGCTTTCCAGCTTTTAAATTTGTTTCTCTTGTCTCTTTTCCCATTATCTTTCTCTTTTTAGATTTTCTGCCTTAAAATTACACTTATTATCATTTTATTGGGGTTTGGGAGGGAGAGAAAATAAATTTGTGTTCACAATCTGTCATTATGCAGTTTAAACAAATCTTATTTTGTCATATTTCCTTAGGATTTTTATTTCTTAAGAAATAAAACTTCACAAAACCAGGAGAAACTCTTTTTCAACCCCCTTTCAGTCTCATTTCTCTTTCTTTCTCCACCAAGATAACCACTACCTTGAAGTCAGTTTCTATCATTTCCTTCCGTAATGGTCTGCCTTTACTTTACATGTATCTATCCATTAAAATGCATAGTTGTTCTGCATGTGTTAAACTTTAGATAAGTGATGTTATATGTAGTTTTCTCTAACATTAAATGTTTGAGATCTGTTCATGGTGATAGACTTAGCTGTAATTCATTTATTTTTACTTCTTAAGGATATTCCCTTGGATAAATACGGTCAAACTGCTCTCCTGTATTTCTACTAATTTATATCCCATACTAGCCATGTATGGAAGCTGCCATTTCTCCATGTCTTCTCTAATCCTGTACTTGGTATTGTAATATGTTCTTCAAATCTTAGGTGGTAGCAACATGGGTTCTACTACCTGTGCACTGACTGGCACAAAATATAACATTAGAATTCTGTCTTTTCAAAACTCACACAGACTAAAGCCAAAGGTAATATTGAGTCTGAGTACACCTAAATTCTATTAGATCTGACCTCTCTTTACTTTAATTTCCTAGAATTCTCTTTGATCATGACTGCTGCTATTCATGACAATGCTATGCTTTTCCTTAAATGAATAAAATTTGAGATATGATAATTTTGGGATTTTGGTACATAATGTAGGGGAAGTGTAAAAGTAGGCTTCAGACAGATGGTGATGCTGGTTCTAGGAGTTCTACTCTTTTTCATTATCTCTCAATTTTTAGATTCTGATGCCAAGGTACTCATTAATCAGTGAAAGATGGCTAGGGGACCAGCTTTTAAGAAGAAGCCCACTGTTTGACTTATGCTTCCTGGTGTGCTCACATCTTCAGAAAGACAGCACAATCTGCTGTGTATAACCTTGATTAACACAATTAGCTCACCATTGCAAAAGGGGAAATACCTTCCTTTATAGAGATTTCCCTCCACTTTTCTCATCTTAGGCAGAGCTTTGCTAGCACAATGTAACAGAAAGTTTTGATGTGGCTCAGCTATATTCCAGCCCTTCCCTC